CATGCTAACACAGTATTTTCATCTTCCCCTTCGTTGTTATGGTACAAACACAGTGGTGGCTAAAGCTGCTAGTGTTCTGGTGCGAAACGAGCCAATGGCATTGAAATGCACCCCACATCCTCTCAAGGAACAAAAATCGGGTTTCATTTTAAAAAGCCTATATGAGGCAGTACAAATCACTCATTAAATTTCAATCTTTGGTTTATGGCTTTTTACTACTCTATGTAAAGACCTGGGAAGTATGTAGAAAACCCTTTCACTGTGGTTGGATAGGAAAAGCTTCCATGTTACCGTGTTCTGCACTGGCCATGCTGGCTTTGAACTAAAAATCCTCCTGCTTCATCCTCTCAAGGGCTGGGATTAGAGGTGTGGGCAACTATGCCCAGCTTGGAAGATTTTCTTTTAACTGAATGACTTGTCACTATGATGAAAGTCACTGAAAGTGTCTGCTGCTGGTGGAAATACTAAGTTTCCAGGAGAAAATTAAAACTTTGGGAAACTTGCATTTGTCATGATGGAATGACAGTTTTCGGCATTTGAAGACTCAGTGGATTCATTTCATGATGATATTAATGATTCTGATTTTGCTTTTTAATAGTGAAAATGAACTGTATCAATATTTTGGAAGATGGCATAACTCAGTAAACTGACAGCTTTCACGATCAACATATGACATTACAGATTCATTTGTGCTGTAAACAGGTGGTTTATTTATTGATTAGTTAATTGACTGATTGATTGATGGCAGATTCCTGCTAAGGTGCCCAGACTCATTTGAAATCATGACCCTCATGCTTCAGACTCTCTATGTATGTGATAACATTCACAAAACACAGCACCAATCAAAAGATACATTTAAAATGTTAGAACATATATTTATGTAACAGAGTATCCAATATTCATTCAAATTTCTGTATATTCAACACTAGAATCTCACAAGTTATGATATAGCATCTAGGAACCCTATTACATATTTGTCCACTTCACATACTTTGGACACAGGATTTGGAGCAATGGAGCTGGGACTGACCTGGAAGGCACCTCTCCTGAAGGGTAGCTCTCATAGCTTTGGAGAGCGCTACTGCTAGAACATCAATTGATGGTCCAACCCAGCTTCCAGTCCTGAAAACTACATCAATGAGCAGTACAGCAAATGACACTGGTACAATAGTGGCAACAGCCACCTAATTGGAGTTAAATCCCACTCAGTGGGAGGAAACTCATGTCTGATACTGTAAACCTAGCCAAATACACATACCTGGAGAAGTCATAGATCTTAGAGAAAACTCCAAAGCTGTCACATCTCTAGACAAATATAATTTTTTATTATGTGCAAAACATGGGTCCTTAAATCTATAAAGTAACCCAGTCATCACCCATCAAAGAAACTTCTATTTCAAGAGACAGATAATTACAGATTTCCACATACAGAGACATACAGAGATTGTCTGTGAATTGCCCAAGTCTAAGTGGCACACCTATGATGCAACCTCTATACCTAAGGCTCATGTAACATAGAACAAGGGATGAAGAGACACTAATACATCTTTCAGCTCTCATCAATGAAGCTTCCTCATGCAACAGAGGGCCAGGAATGCAAAAGGGCATAAATGGCCAAAATGCAGAGAATAAGAGTCTGCAAAGTATGGGTCCTTGGAGAGGACTCCTATATTAAAATCTACCCACCCAGTGCTCAGGGACCATTGAGGAAGAGGGGTGGAAAGATTTTAAGTGCCAGGGAGGAGGTGCCTGACCATAGGGAAATAGTCCTACTGGCACCTGGGACCTTGCTCATACAAATCTACAGCAATGGTGTTAGCATGCACAGACCCATACAAACTAAGCAGACAAAAACCTAGCACAGAACTGTGGACATGAACAGCACACCCCAATCTTAGTTGAAGAATTATTGGCAGCTGATTACTGCTGGGTGAGGAAGTGCTGATCTTAAAAGGAGGGACTCTAGATAAGCTGACTAAATCCCAGTGGACAAACTTGTACTGAGGGACATCAGGGGACATGCACTTTAAATGATAGCCTTAACACAAATGACAGAATGTACGAACTCCAGGTGGGGGTGGGGTGAGGGGGCTGTGGAAGGGTACCAAAGGGGAAGGTGTATAAAGATACAAAATACACAAAAATTCAATAAAAATTTTTAACAAAGAAAAAATATTTCATTTCAAGCTATCTGTGAAAGGACCAGACTTACTTTCATGTACATCAAAGCAACAACTAAATTAGAAGCGAATATAAGAACAGAGTTATAGTCCATAGACCAGACAGACAGTAGAAGCATACACACACACACACACACACACACACACACACACACACACACACACAAATAAAAAGGAATGCTACTTTTCTCAGAAATCATTTCTCTACTTTCAACTACAAAATGGAGACTCAGAGAAGTGAAATACCTTTCAGTAATCCAATGAACAATGGACACCAAAGATGGGATTTGATTTAGGGACCCATTGAGAATCCCTTTTGCTTATAAGGAGTTTATCTTCTGGTCTTAAACTCTGCTATCCTTTTCTCTATTAGGTTGGTGGGGGAGGGCATGACAGAAAAGCATGGATGTGTAGTCCACATTTGTGTTCACTCACAGCTGGACGACAAGCTATTTGGCTCTGTAGGTTATGAATTACAAGTGAAGAAGCAACAAATGTGTTTTTCCTTAATAAAGAAACAGTTTTGCTGGATGTGCTCATTGCTTGAACTGTTAGCATAGAAATAGTTCATGGCTACCTACTGAACAGTTTCCCTCTCCTTCATGGGCATTTAGAGAGGTGAAGACCCCTTAGGAACCTTACACTTGGCACTCCACAATTTCAACCCTACTCCTAAATCAGTTTAATTTAGATTATAGGTCATGGTGTATAAGTTGAAGAATATATTTAAAATTATAATCTATTTATCATTATTATTTTTTAATTTTATGTGTATAAGTGTATTGCCTGCATTCATGTGAGTGCACCCATGTCATGCAATGCCCATAGAGGTCAGAAGAGGGTGTCATATCCCCTGGAACTGGAATTACACACTGTTGTTAGCCACCATGTGGGTGCTGGGATTTGAACCCAGGTACTCTGAAAAAGCAGTCAGTGCTCTTAACCTCTCTGAACCATCTCTCCAACCCCAAATTATAATTTAAATATATGTTTAAAATTATATTTTAAAAGATAATTTGAATGCTCCACAAACCCCGAAAAATCAGGACACTCAAGACTAATTAAGTGAGATGAAACTGTGCTCCAAAATTTAAGCCACTCTTTCCAACAGTTTGAACCACCTCAGGCAGAGTTCAAAGGCTTAAGCCAAGAATGGTTGTTGGGGAAATGAGGAAATGGGTCTCCTCCCCAGAGGCCTATGAAGTCATCTACCAAACTAATGTTTCCCAGAGGTGAAACGACTGTGTTGGGGGTTGGGGGCAAAGGAGGGAAACACTGGTAATTTGCAAGTCTGGCTCTGGGGAAGGATTGGCTGACTACCTGGTATTGCCGCAAAGTTCTTCACAGGAGTTCACATTCCCCAACACCACACCCAGCCAGATGCATTGAAAGCATCATCCATGGATTGGTTTATTCTATTTTTCTGTTTCTGTTTCTGTCTGACTTTTTAACTATTGCCAAATTTACATTTGATCTTTATCAGGATCCAATGATCTAGTTATTAATATCTAGTGGATTTCGAAAGAAGCCCACACCTGTAAGGCCACTTAGAAAGGAAAGAAAATAAAGGGAAAAAAGGAAGTAAAGGGAAAGTAGCGTTTTACACAATTGCAATTTCAGCAGACTTCTCAAAAGACCTAGGCTAACTTGCAAACGCGCTCATTTTTTCCTAAACAGTGCCATCTACTGTCCATTTTAAGTCATTGAAAGCTCTTTCTTTTTTACCTTCCACCTCTTTTTTCTTTTCTTTCATTTTTCCTTTCCTTTCCTTTTCTTTCTTTTTTTTTTTTTTTGGCAAAGACCAAAGAAAAATAAAGAAGCGGAGGGGTGGGGATGAGAATGTAATCGAGGGAACGAGGTCCCAGTCTCGGTGGTAACGGAAAAAATACTTTTTAAAAAAGTAATTTTGAATTCATTTTCTTTGCACCAGACTCTCAAGAAGCAAGTTTTCAGCTATTTCTTTAGAGGGTTTTTGTAAACCCTTCTTATAAGTTCTTTTTTATTATGATAAACTTAGTTTTAAAGCGCGCCCAGGTTTTAATGTTTGGGGATTCTCTCTCTCTCTCTCTCTCTCTCTCTCTCACCTAAATGGTTTAGCTCACAAAGGCGCCCAGGTATTTTTTTTTGGGTTTCTCTCTCTCTCTCTCTCTCTCTCTCTCTCTCTCTCTCTCTCTCTCTTTCCCCCCAACCCCCACCCCCCGGCCCACCCACAGCGAAAACCTCTGCAGAAGAAAGGTGTTGATGCTTGACAGTTTTGACAGGAAGAAAGGGTTAACAAGTGGCAAACCAATCGCCTTTTTTTAGTGTCCCAAGCAGTTGGCGGGAGATCCCAGGTAGTATACACACACACACACACACACACACACACACACACACACACACACACCAGTTGTACCCACCCAGGCAGTGATTTAGCCCAAGTGTACCCATTGGCTTTAAAATAGAACACTTGCGCACAACAGAGAGTTTATTTCAAGAGGGAATCCTTTAAATTGAGACAGGATTTCATCAATATTTGCAAAGCGGGTCTCCTCACAATGCCGCTGGAGGAAAGAGTCAGGAGGTGGCCCTCGGCTGTGCACTGCCTTTCTCTGCACACGTTAACAATCTAGTTAATTGAATTCATTGGCGTTTAGAACCGGCCTCTAGCTCTGAGAGGGCTTTGAATGGCCAATTTCCCTCTCTCCCTCCACTCCTCCCCGCCTCCTCCCCGCCCAGTCCCTCCCCTCCGGGATCCCCAGTCCACACCTCTCTCCTCCAGTCCCCTCACCCCCACTCCCTCCTCCGCCCTATTAAAACACCCACCGGCTCACTTGTTAAGACCCCCAAGTTGGAGGAGGCAGAAAGGCAGCAACAGCGAGGAAGGAGAAGTCAAGACGTCTGGAAAGAATTATCCAGTCCTGGCTTCGAGCAGCCCATTGAACCAGGGACTTGAACCAGCCAAAGACTTTTCTCTCCATTCTGCGCTTCCTGAGTTCTGCTAAGTCTGAACCAGGCTTTTTACTTGATGAGAAAAAGACTTTCCGTTATCGGAGTGAGGGGATTGGAGCAAATATCAAAACAGAGCAAAAAACTAATTTATTTTTAAAACACATTTTTAAAAATTAGAAGATTTAAGTGCAACTGAAATAATAAAGAGAATATTAGTGAAATTTCTTCTTAAAGCGGGGAGAAACAAGCGTTTAAGTCTCCCGCATCATTTTTTAAATGTTGTTTTTAAATTTCTTATTTTTTTTGGCCGGTCGTCTCAAATTCATCTGATCGCTTATTACCTCAGTTTTGGAAACTGCCTCCCACCTACCCTCCGGGACCACACAGACAGGCTGAGGACGACTTTATGACCAAGAGTTAAACAAGGTAAGTTACCCAGGCGGGTTTGGGTGAACTATAAGTGTCCTTAGAGATAGGTCAGGGGCAGGGAAGATATTATCCACAGCAATTGTTTTTAAGTGCTGATTTTTATAGAAAACTTTGCGATCTGAACGTTTTTTCCAACACGTTGAACATTAGGGAATATTTCCATCACTATGAAGCCTAATAGCACACACTGGCTTTTACCATCTCTGCGCACTCGCCAGAAATCCGTTGTCTCTCTGGGCGCACAGGTAACCAGTGTGGCTGGGGAAAGTTGTTGCTCCAAAGATGTACTTTTCCACTCTGCATCTTCCGGAGCGACAGAGGGGCTCTGGAGTTAGGGAACAAGGATTTCCACTGTGTAAGGAAAAAGCATTCCATAACGCTCTTACCTTTCCACCCCTTCTCCCGCACCCCACGTCCGGTCCCACATATATGGGCAGGAAATCCCTGACACAGCCCAGTGCGTATTTATCAAAAAGCTTCCCCCCCACACCTTTTTTTTTTTTTTTTTTCTTTCTCGCATTGAAAGGGTTAAGCGACTCCGCCGGGCCTTCCAGCTCCGTTTGAGCTGTGGACCCCAAGGAGGGAGAGTCCTGGCCACCTCCTAGTGGCTACCAGACTCCTAGTTTGGTCACTCCCCCCTTTTCCTGGGCCTCCCCTCAGTTGCAGTTTTCCAAACCCAGTTAGTGTCAGACAGGATTCATCCAAGATCAGCGGTGCAGTGGAAGCCTTCCTGGGAAGAGGGGTTCTTGAGGCCGGCGGTGGCACTTGCCGCAGCGAGCTGGAAGTGGGCGCGCGAATCCCAGCCATCCTCCGGCCGCCCAGGAGGCTGGGCGTGCGCTGGAACCGCGCGCAAGGCTCAGGCAGCTGCCGGGTCCCTAGAGCCAAATCCGACGTGGCATCCAGCAAGCTGGCGCTTCTTTGCTCAGCTGCAGCTGGGGACATCGCTTGACGGGGGATTGGAGGTTCAATCCCCAGCCTCCTGCCCAGGATGGGGTCGAGGGACCGTGGGAGCCGGGGTGGAGGTGGGAGGGAAGCCAGAGCCTGGGTTGGGATGGATAATCAACACCTTGGGCGGAATTCGTCACGCTGGTTCCCGCCCAGAGTAAGCCAGGGTTTAGAGATGGGTCCTTGTGAACAGGAGGGCGGGTCTGAAAGGAGGGTCTGTGTGGGGGTGAGAACAGCTAGGCGTGAGAGGCAGCTTTCCCTGGCCCAGGAAACAGCCCAGTGAAAAAGCGCTGAAAGGACCATTAAGGCTGGAAATCAGGGCTGGGAAGGAGTAGGCGGTATTTGTATCTGAGGACAAGAGGAAACGAGACCCAGGTCTCACTACACAGACATAGGAGCCAGTTTCCACCAGCTCCACTCTCGCCATCTCCCAAACACTGGTGCCCAGTAACTCGGTTCCCTCCCATACCATGTGCCACTTGGGAACCCCGCTGCAGGAGCCGTGTCCCTGCAGGACAGGCATAGAAACCCTGCCAGGCCCTCCCTGCTCCAGTTCACTACCCACTGGGACTCTTTGCTGCCAACTAGGTCTCAGGCAGCAGCTGAACAGAAACCCTACACTCCTTCAACCCACGTGGCGGGGCTGAGATTGCCTTTGACGTCACACTAAGGGAGGGGTAGGTGTGACACAATAGATTTGGAGGTCCTGATTGGCCAGGAAGGGTTTTCCTCCAACTAGAGGCCAGATCTATACACAGACACCCGAGGTCTGCATAGTGTAAAGCAAAGCCAACTTGTAGGTGAGCTTTGTTGAAGTCAGACGGCTGGCTCATAAGTGGGAAAGCAGCTTCCTGTCCACTGTAAATTTTAAGACTCAGCCAGGGAGTTCTTACTGCAGTGAATGCATATGACAGCGTACCTTTGGAGACGTTAAACCAGAGTGTGATTTGCTTTTGAAAAGATCATTTAAAGAATAAAGTCAAAACATTCAATCTTAAGATACACGATTGTAAAATTAAAAAGAAGGATTTCTATAGAATGAGCTAAAACAAATACCTATGCCCAACAACCTATTTATAAGTAACATTTTTCTAAGACTTAGGTTGAAAAGAACTCCAGGTTTCATAATTTTCCCTTCCAATGTGTGCAAGTCAATGCACTCATAAAATTATTTTTGCTACATTTTTAGATGATTAATATGATTAATCATTCAGTCGAGATACTGTTTCTGAATACCCTTCATCTTCCCCACAGCGTTTCCTTAGTATAATATTCTTTGACATTTACGATATAAATTTAATGGCAGAAAGTACAGATTATGGGAAATATGCTTCTCCTGTCTTCAGAATTCCAGGACAAACTCAAATTCCATGTGGACATTTATGGGTTAAAGCCTGTATTAAGACTATCATCCACCTTATTCCGGTTTCCTTATAGATTATCACAGTCAGACAAATAGATAAAATGCTGTCGATGTACTGAATGATGCATATTAGCTGGGCTGTTTCTATTATAACTAGAATTGAATCCATACTTTACCAAATAAAATCATCAGCTTATAAACACCCAAGGATTTGGTAAACTGATGAATAGTATCAAATTTGAATATCACTTTCAGAAAATGAATAGGTTGTGGCCAGCTACTCTCCTGGTAAACAGGAATTGTGCAATGAGAGAATAAGAAACCAGTACTAGAAAGTAAGCTTGGGACGTGTTACATCTGTAGAATGTCACTTTATATCACTGAGATTTACAAATGCTTTAACAACTGTGGTTTCTTTACCAAAATTTCTTGATATCCTGATTTCTCTCTCTTCTTCCCCTCTCTCCCTCCCTCCTTTCCTCCTTCCTTCTCTTTTTCCTTCCTTCCTCCCTTCTCATTCTCTCCTCTCTCTCTCCTTTCCTTCATTCCTCCCTTCATTTCTTCTTTCTCTTGACAGGGTTTTACTATGGAATCCAGGCTTATCTCAAACTTGACAATATCCAGCAACTTCCTCCCAAGTGCTGATATCCCAAGTGTGCACTATACATGGCTATATGACTTAAAAAAAAACACTTTTTCCTTGAATTTTAAAAACATATATACCTTTCATTGAATATTTCCTAATTCTGGCACTGTGGAGAAAGTCCTTATCTTGGGATCAAAGTGCAGGTACTCTTTGGCAAAGTCATATTACAGTTTCATTTTAAATCTAAGAATGAGTAAGGAGTTTGTATATTGTACCTTGTATGATGGGAGTCCATAAATTAACACAATGAGAGACTAAAGCATAAGCCCTGTGACTTTTCTGAGCTTTCCTTTTTATGCATGCAGACACAGACTGTGTTCCTCTATGAGGCTGCAAGGACAAGAACAGGGCCCCTGTCAGTTGCTGTGCTAGTTGAAAAGGGGTTAAGTCCCTGTATAGAATATTTAAAGTCATTACCACAATTGGACTTTAATATTTTCCCAGTAGCAGCAATCTGCACAGAATGAGTATCAACCTGTCACATAGAGATGTGAATTATTTTACAGAGACTCAATGTCTGTGCTGTACTTAACTACATAAGATTTTGATCTATAGAACTAACTTCTGAAGACCCAATATTGGTACACAGAAGGAAGAGGTCCAATTCAAGTCATTATGATTTTTCCCCTTCCACTGTGGAGGGAAAGTGCAGGCTGGGGAAGATCAGGAGCCGCTAGCAGCAGGAAGAAAGTCATTCTAGCAGCACCTGATTAAAAATGATGGTGCAATGGAAGACCAATCTGAAACCTGAAACTCTACTAGAGTCACTAGGTCTTTATCAGACTTGTATCCTCCTGACAGCTTGGCTCCAGGGTATTTGCTAGACTTCAAAGACAGAGGAAGGGAGAGAGAAAGGGAAAGGGAGAAGGAGGGAAGGGGGAAGGGGGAGAGGGAGGGGAAGGGGGAGGGGAGAGGGAGGGGAAGGAGGAGGGGGAGAGGGAGAGTCAAAAAGTAAGAGAAAGGGGTTAATGTGTTGTAATGTGAAGGCTTGGAAGCACTTCTGTTGTGCATACTTCTTTCTCAGATTTCTGGTTCCAAATAGTAGCAGACAGACGATCCATAATTATAAAGAGGGCATGGACTATTGACTTTAATTCATTTATTTTCAAATCAAACTTTGTTACACATTAGAATCTTGTGATGCTCTAGTCACAACTTAGTAAATTAACTATGAATATTGCCAGGGCAACAATCAGCTGCTTGTGTATATCCTTAGGTCATGTGGATATACAGCAACATTTAAACTTCCATTCACCATCCGTTCCAAATTCACCGTTAGCAAACTGATAGATACCATGTGAATAGATCTCATTACAAAGAAGCAAATTTCCATTTTCCTTGCTAATATCACCTGCCTAGATCAACCTTTCCTATTTTAATCATTTTATGTAAGCTATAAGACCCGTGAAGAGGAAAGCAAAGACTTCTAAAATATTTAAGTGAATTTGTTGTAAAGAAAGTTATGGGGGCTGGAGAATTGGTTCAGTAGGTAAGAGTAGGCACTGTTCCTGTACAGAACCTGAGTTCTGATGGCAGCACCCGTGTCAGATAGCTCAGCACCACCTACAACCCCAGGTTTGGGGGATCCCACACCCTCTTCTGGTATCCTTGGTCACCCATATACATGGTTGCATACACACACAAGCACATAAATAAAAAAAATCTTAAAAACACCAAATGTTATGTTCCAGAACCAGTGTTATGTTTTATGACAGTCTTGAAATGCCTCCTATCATTCTTTTTGCCTTGGTATGTTTACATATTGTTCACAAGATAAATTCTTCAATGGATTTGAAAATACAAGGAAGAGGGAAAACAGACTTGTACTTTATAACTTGTTATTCTTTATTTGCATTAAAATACTGACTTGTTCGGCTGGAGAGATGACTCAGTGGCTAAGAGCACTAGCCGTTGTTGAAGAGGCCTGGGGTTCAGTTTCTAACACCTACATGGTGGCTAACAAGAGTTTGTATCTCCAGTTCCAGGGGAATGTGATGCCCTCTTCTGACATCCTCGGACATTGCATGACACGAGCACACTTAA